GATGCGGGACTCGATCCCGGGACTCCAGGATCATGACCTGAGCTGAAGGCAGTCGCTCACCCAACTGAGCCACCCAGGCGACCAAGGGTTTATTTTCAGTCCTACATATTAGGGCAGCATGTCCTTAATGACAAAAAAAAAAAAAAAGGTTTCATTCTGGTCCTTGTTTTTAAAGGTTATGATGAGCCCTTCTGCATTACTGAAATATCTACAGACAACTCTCTCTCAGGCACCAACCAGTGTCCATTTCCAAAGGTTTCCTGCACTTTCGGAGGACTGCCTTCTCAGGGCTCCTCATCTTAATGAGACCACCTAGTCCACAAATGCGAGAGGGCTCACTTCTCAGTTCGATGCTCTACCATAATTTCTTTCAAAGCTTGGTACAGATGTGCGCCATTCTGCTGTCCTCAAAGTTTTCATGAGATTTTATCTGATGTTATATCACACCAGCTTCTGTTTTTCCAAAAATGGTGAAAATGCAACTGAGGGAACATCAGGGCTATAATATTCTAGAGGTTACTGACGAGGTTAGTCAAGTAACTCAACAATCACACGGTGCCGTTTCCCTCGCGGCCTCGTTATTAGCGCACTATCACACACTTCCCATTACCAAGTGCACAGGGGGAAAGGAGGAATAATCTATGCGAGAGGTAAGGGACAACAAAGAGCACCTCATTAGTTTGAGTAGAAAGAAGAGTTGCAATTCGCTCTTTTATCACAGGGTTTTCTAAGGAGCATTATTCGAACCCAGCAATAGACAACACACAGACAAAAACTAAAAATCATCTTCCAGAAAAGCTACCTCGTCAGCGGTGACCCTTCAGAAACCAGAGTGGCAGCCTCTTCAGGTTGTTGGCTCAGAGAGCTTATGGCTCCAACACAAAAGCTCGGGTTGCTCAGCCAATCTAATTCTGCACAAGCAAAGGGGGAAAAAAAAGATCAATGAAATCAGTTCAATGTGATTTCGAAAGCAGGAAATCCATCTTATCAGCCGACATCCTAATTCACAGCCAGTGTCAGCCAGAGAGTCCGAAGAAGCCAAAGGGAATCCATGAGATTTTTATTTCATAGGGCATGGGGCTTTCTCACACTCTAAAATATTTAAGACTGAAATCCTCTTGTGCAATCAGACTGCGGCTTAAGCAAAAGCCGCACAACAAGTGTGGCTTAAAAAGCAACATGGCTTCACGATTCCATCACACTCTAAGGAGCAGGAATGGTTTCCAAAGCACTAGGATTGAATGACCTCAAATTTGACGCAGACAATTCCAAAAAGCTTAAAAATCAAATCATGCACAAAAGCCCTCCATGTTCAATATCGTTACAGAAGATTAGACATTTTTCTTCAAAAAATATTCCGTTCTTAGTAACTTAACATTAGCCTTTCCTTACAGCAGTACTCTTCTTTGAAAATAAAAACATGAGGTGTCAACTTTGCTAACGCTAAAATGACACAAAATGTTAATAATGATTATCTCTGGGTGGTGAGATTAAATGTCCAAAATTTTTCCTCCTTCTGCTTATCCATTAATTTCTTTTTTTTTTTTTTAAAGATTTTATTTATTTGAGAGAGAGAATGAGAGAGAGAGAGCACATGAGAGGGGGGAGGATCAGAGGGAGAAACAGACCCCCCGCTAAGCAAGGAGCCCAATATGGGACTCGATCCCGGGACTCCAGGATCATGACCTGAGCCGAAGGCAGTCGCTTAACCAACTGAGCCACCCAGGCGCCCTATCCATTAATTTCTAACTCCTCTGGAATGAACTTTTTCTAAATTACTTATTTCCTAACCTTTTAGGAGTCTTAACTGTGAAGGAAAGGAAAAAGCCATGGTGAATGGTGGCAGCAAGGGGGCCCCAGGAAGGGTTTAGAGGTTGTCCTGTTTTGTTCTAGGATGAGGCCAGAGCACCAGTGACATGAAGTTAGGAGACAGAAGGGTAACTGCACTTTTTTTTTTAAGATTTTATTTATTCATTTGAGACACAGAGATAGAGAGAGAGAGAACATGAGCAGGGGGAGAGGGAGAGGGAGAAGCAGGCTCCCCACTAAGCCAGGAGCCTGACGTGGGGCTCGATCCCAGGACTCTGGGATCATGACCTGAGCTGAAGGCAGACGTTTAACCATCTGAGCCACCCAGGCGCTCCGTGCACTTCTTAACAGCTATACTGGGATATAATCTATAAACCATAAGGTTCAGCCATTTAAAATGTACAACCCATGGTTTTTAGTATATTTAGAATTGTAACAGGGTGCCTGGCTGGCTGTGGAGTATGAAGTCGGTGGAGTATGCAACTCCTGATCATGGAGTCATGAGTTCAAGCCCCATGCTGGGCACATAATTTGCTTAAAAAAAAAAAAAAAAAAGAATTGTACAACTATTACCGTAAAATAATTTGGGCATTTTCATCATCCCAAAAAGAAACCCCATAGAGGGGTGCCTGGGTGGCTCAGTCGTTAAGCGTCTGCCTTCAGCTCAGGTCATGATCCCAGGGTCCTGGGATCGAGCCACATTGGGCTCCTGCTCAGCGGGAGGCCTGCTTCTCCCTCTCCCACTCCCCCTGCTTGTGTTCCTTCTCTCGCTGTCTCTGTCAAATAAATAAATAAAATCTTACTAAAAAGAAAAAAAAGATAGAAACCCCAAAGCTATTAGCAGTTACCTTCACTCATCTCTGGCTCTTCCACCCCAGGCAACCACTAATCTGTCTCTACAGATTTGCCAGTCTAGGACACTGAATATAAATGAGATCATACAATACAGTCCTTTGTAACTGGCTTCTTTTACTCGGCGTAATGTGTCCAAGGTTCATCCATGCTGTAGCATGTATCCATGCTCCACTCCTTTTTATTGCCAAATAATATTCCATTTTATGGATATCCCACATTTTGTCCATTCATCAGCTGATGGACACCTGGGCGTCATTTTGGTTATTATGAACAATGCTCTGTGAATATTCATGTGTAAGTTTTTATATGGACATATGTTTTCACTGCTCTTGGCTAGATATCCAGGAGAAATGCTGGGTCATGTGGTAACTCATATTTAGCATTTTAAGGAAATGCCAGACTGTTTTCCAAAATGGCTGCACCACTTTACATTCCCAATAACTGTATACGGATTCTCTGATTTCTCCAAATTTGATTTCTACTGTCTGTGTTTTAGGTTATAGTTATACTACTGGGTGTGATGTCCCTCCTCATTGCGCTTTTCCATTTCCCTGGTGACTAATGACGTGAAGCATCTTTTCGTGTGTTTATTGGCCATTCATATTTGAACAGTAATAGTCAAATCCTTTGCCCATTTTTTAATTGGGTTGCCTTTTTAGTGTTGTGCTGGAAGAGTGCTTTATATGTTCTGTCTTCTAGTCCCTGGTGATTACTGCATCTTACTGAGGAGTAGATGCTGAAATGTGTGCTCCTTGATGACAGGTACTTTGTTTGACTCACTGTTGTATCCATTAGCAATGCCTGGCAATGCGTCAGGAGGAGTTTAATAAATACCTGTGGAAAAGAGGGGAGGGAGGGAGGACAGGTACATTAAAAGAAAAGGGGGGGTGCCTGGGTGGCTCAGTCAGCTGAGTGTCCAACTCTTGATTTTGGCTCAGGTCTTGATCTCAGAGTCATGGGATGGAGCCCAATGCTCAGCAGGGAATCTGCTTGAGATTCTCTCTCCCTGTCCCTCTGCCCCTCACCCCAACCCCCACCTCACTCTAGAGCGCATGCAGCACACACACATACACACGTGCTTTCTCTCTCTCAAATAAATAAATAAAATCTTTTAAAAAAAAAAAGGGGGAAGGAAGAGAGGAATCCTAACTCATTAAGTGCCTACTGTAGGCCAAACACCAGGTAAAGCACTTTATATCCTTACCCCTTTTAAGCACCAAAACAACCCACTATGGGACACATTATCATCTCCACTGTATAGAAGAGGAGACTGAGGCTCAAAGGAATTAAATAATTTGTAAGGTCATACCCAGTGAGTGCTAAATAATCGTCCAGGCAATCTATCTTCTATTGTCTTTCTCTTTCTGAGATTGGTTCCCTTTCCTGGCAAGAGGTATGTGAAAATAGTTCCTGGGGACGCCTGGGTGGCTCAGTCGGTTAAGCGTCTGCCTTCGGCTCAGGTCATGATCCCAGGGTCCTGGGATCGAGTTCCGCATCGGGCTCCCTGCTCCGCGGGGAGCCTGCTTCTCCCTCTGCCTCTGTCTCTCTCTCTGTCTCTCATGAATAAATAAATAAAATCTTAAAAAAAAAAAAAAGAAAATAGTTCCTGTTGCTCAGAGATCATGATCATTTCCACAATAATTGGATTTTCTCATGAACAAAGGAAAAGTGAGAAAAGATGGAACAATATGCAAGGAAAGATGCTCTCAAACGATTCCAGTATATCTTTCCATAAATATTCTAGACAGTGAGGACAGCTTGGAGGAAATGTAAAGAAACCCAGATGTCAAAACAACAGAAAGTGCGTGACTCTCAGGAGTCCTTCAGAAAGTACAAGAAAAAGGGCTTTTAAGGGAGCAATTAAGACTTTGCCATATGAGACCACTGTGGAAAAAGGGTAGTGTATACAGAACTAAAACTGTTGGGGTTCTAACCCAAATCATCACTGACCTTCTCTGTGACCTTCATCTCAATCAAATGACCTTTTGTCAGAGCAAAGGGTATTTGCACCTGACAAGAAGTTACCACTGCTGCTTTTTTTTTGCCTGGTAGCGCATGAGCAGTGAACATGAAACGTTAGAAGTAATCATCACTGGATGTTAGGCATGCAGGAATTTCGGAGATCATCTAGGGATTTTAAAACTCTTTTTAGCCAAAGAAAACACTGCTCAAACAAAATGTTTCAGAGAAGCCCAGCATGAAGAACAGCAAAAGTAGGGTTGCTCCTAGGGGTCTGGAGGGAGGGAGCAGTTCTGAGAAGGCTCTCCAGGGCAGAGCCGGGATCCCACCTCCTCATCTACGGATCAAAAGCAGGAGGCCCAAAGAAGTCCAGTCACGGCTGTGGGCACACACCTGAAACTGGATCTGCGCTCCTCCATCTGGTCTCTCCACCACACCATGGTGCTACTCTTCATTCCCTCAACTAAGGCGCTGGTTTTCCTGAAATCTCCCTGCAACTGGTACATGGGGATAGTGTGGCAATTTTCACATTATAATCTCATTATTTGCATGGCAGTCTTCCTACTTTATTCTAAGGCAAAGGTCAACAACTCAAATCCTTACAGGGACCAGATTAGTAATTACTCTGACACTGTAGGGAATGAGAATGGAAAAAAGAAAAAGACAAACAAAATATTTTGCCAGCCAAACAAATACAGCAAATTGATTTACAATTCTTGCATCCAAGTTTCCAGCTCACCTACCCTCCTCCTATTCTTTTCTTTCTAAACTAAATGCAACACGAGGGCAGAGGTTATGACTACTCGCTCCTGTATTCCCAACCCCTAGCACAGTGCCTTGGCACAAAGTAACTGGAATCAATAAATATTTGTTGAATAAATAAAATGACTGAGGATCTGAGCCATATCTTCATATTTTTGTATCCCCAGCACCTAATTTACTGAACTGAAGGACCCTGAGATCATCAAAAGCATGCCATTATCTAGGTATAAAGTACAACTATTTTAATTCTTCACTGTAAATGGAGATTTGACCATTAAAGAATAAAGTATTGAATACCTACTATGTGCCCAGGCACATCCCAGGCTTTGGGGGTACAGGGTGAATAAGGCAGGCCAGGTCTCTGCTCATGTGGTATTTATACTTAATCATAACCTTAACTGTTCACGTAATACATGTAAGATTATTAAATTAAATTTTGGTTACATGGAATCCTGGAGGAAGTTATTTGAGATTAAAAGATACTTTATTATTCAGACTGCAAAGGTTTTTTTTTTTTCCTATTTAC